AGATTGTCTTGACCAGGACCACACCCCTAAATGCATTGAAGCAACTGCCATGTGATTGGTTGATTAGATAATTGCATTAATGAGAAATTGAACAGGTATTCCTAATAATCCTTTAGGTAAGTGTATATCAGCCAAAGTAATAATAAATTTTACTATACATTACCAATATACTGTATATTATACTGCATAAAAAACAAAGATCTAAAAACAGTGAACATTTAATAAGGACTTAAATAGGACATTTCTACAATTTATGTTTACCAAGTTATGAGAAAAAGTTTGCCAAATGAGCACCAGCTACCACACAGCATTAATTTCAAAAACAAAAAGCTACAAGTTAAACAGTGCAATACAGCATATTTCTCCATGCTCTTTATCCACTCCTTCTGTTCAACAACACATCTACACTGATCAACCAATAGTTAACCTTCTTATTGTTGCACAGATCAAAATGAGTGAATCGTACATTATTTTTATGACAAAATAAAACTTTATGCTTATACACGTATGTTTACAGTATATGTGCATGGTGGAAGTCATATGTTTTCAGTGTTGAGTTTTATTATGCGTTTTTGTGATTGTCCATATTTAAATATCATTGAAATATGCAAATCAGAAAACCAGATAATATCAGCGTCATCCAAATTTTTACTGTGGGTTTGTGAGGAGATAGGTTGGCGATTTTGGTGTGGAGATTGCAGGTTGTTTTTGGCGTCAGAGCATAACTATATTTTACTTAAAAATGGATTAGAGCTTCTTTTAGCTTTTATGTTTAATGCTTAAAGTGGCAATTATATGCCACAGAAGGTTTACCCACAGGTTTTGGGTCCATCCCCTGCTAACTGGGTTTTGGACCCTGTATGTGATTTTGAGGAAACATCTGGAGAAATTCCTTTTCCTATACCAGGAAGTCAAGTGTTTGAGGGGAAAAGGGGAGCAAAAAAACACATACAAATGCTTTGGAATGTATTTGTATCCATTCTCCATTGCCATCAATGAGAGTGCTCAGCACAAAGAAATGCGTGCAGCAATGCGTTTTCAAAATGCACTGCAATGCAGCACACTAATGGGGACATCAGATATAGCTTTCTATGCAATGTATGATGTTCTACCAGTTTGCATAATGTGTGCGTTGGTGAAAAGGGCAATGCACAGTGGGAATACTGCAAATTTATATCTGGACTGTCTATCTTGTGGAGCTTAAAGATATCATAGGTCCAATAGCGTGCTCAGCTGCAGAATCCAAAGCTGGAATATAACAAAATGTTGGTAGCACTTTACATGAGGGTGTACAAATAATGTAGTGGTACACTCATTTAATGTATGAATTAACCAGAAACTAAGTGTTTACTATGTATTGGTTCTCATGTTCGTCCATCACTAATCAATCATAACGGTCCTTGGTGCAGAGGAAAAATGCCTTAATTGTTCATGATTTGCAGTACCAGAGTTACTTGTGCACCTTCAAGGAAAGTTTTATTGAAAACTTTTCTTCGATTGGATCTACCCCAAGTTTGTGAAAAAGGAAACACGACACTCACTCAAATACTTTCCTTAATCTGTCGTGTAAATAAAACTTGTCATGTAAATTCAGGTTACTGAAGGAATTGATTATTCAATTGATTCATTCAAACACATGTAAACGAATTCAAAATATTACCTACATCTGGTTATTCTGTGCATGTAAACACAGCTCATGCATAGACAACAGTGGTATAGAAGATTTGAAGTAAATGGCTACCACCGCCAGAGGAATGCAATATATTTGCAATCTAGCAGTAATGCGGAGTACTAAGCATGTCTGCCACAGCTCAAACTGCTCTCCTCTTCTGCAGTCTGAGAATGAGGATTGGATATTAAGAACATAAGAACATAAGAAATTTACAAACGAGAGGAGGCCATTCGGCCCATCAAGCTCGTTTGGGGAGAACTTAGCTAATAGCTCAGAGTTGTTCAAATCTTATCTAGCTCTGATTTAAAGGAACCCATGGTTTTAGCTTCCACTACAATAGCAGGAAGACTATTCCATACTCTGACTACACGCTGTGT